GTCCTGATTTTTCGGCTTATATTGGTATGCAATTTTCAAATCATCCGCATACGTAGATGGCTTATCATTCTGAAATAAAGCCGGTACATCGTTGACAAATATGCAAAATAAGAGTGAACCAAGCACGTTACCCTGAATGACTCCACTCCTGGCGCATGTGAGATTGGATTAACCATTTAAAGTCTCAACACGTTGTATGCAAGAGCCCAGATGAGTAGATATTAAATTCGAAAGTTTACCACTTATTGCGAAGGAGAAAAGTTTCAAGAAAGAATGAACGTGGTCAGAATAAGCAAAAACTGGCGAAATCGAAATAGACTACAGAAAGCGCGAAACAATGCTCGGTAGACTGAAGAACATGATTAAAGAGGGAGAGATAAAGCGTGTCACAAGACCGGATCTTGTGGAATTCATGCTAGTCAGCACTCCGTAATTTAGCCCCTGTTAAGTAACATATCATCCTATCTTCAGCCAATGATCTGAAACTACAAGAACGACGTTTATTGGCCGAAATTCGTCAAATGACGTAGATTCATTGTGTTTTGGGATAAGCAGAATGCGTGATTCCTTTCATAAATCGCGAGAGCTTTGGCTTTCGATAGGGAGATTAAACAACTTACACAGGAAGGACGTAAAAATCGCATTTACGCCCTCCCTCAAAATGCTGGTCGGGATACCATCAGGTCCAGGGTTATGAGATTGATGAAAACGCCAAATCGCTATGATCCTGCCCCAGAGGTCGAAAGCTGTAGCTTCAAGAGTGGCACCTGCCCAAACATGGATGTCAGGAAGCAGTTCGATCGAATTTTTGATAAAAGTTAAGGAGATGGAAGCATTAAGACTACCAGCGGTCACCTTGGCGTCCATAACAGGATTTCCAAGAGCGTCTCGGAGGATGGAACGCTGTGGTTTTCTATGAGCTTTTAAGTTTCGAGAAAAGAGTTTGACGAAATTATACGGCGAAGGAGACCTCTTCGGTTAACTGTTTTCTACGGACAATCTCTTAGTCCGCTCAAAAATATGACAAAGCGAAGACAGAGCGAAAAAGGCGTTTTGCAGATGGAATCAACGAGAGAGAGCGCATCTTACGGCGAAAGGGCAAGGGGAGGTAAACCTCACTCCCTACCCTAATTATTGTCTTATTGAGAACAAGGTGAGAAATGAGCGGGTCGAAGACTTCGTGAAGTTTGGCGGCACAAACAATTTAATCCGAACTTAGGAAGAAATCAGTCTAGTCATAGCAATTATGGTGGGTTAATACTTCACCGAATGGGCTGACTTGAAACCGAAGAAGAAGCTTTGATTTGGGGAGAAAATTTTATCAGCCTCGAGTTATAACGTAGAAACATCTGTTTCGTAATTTAGGCTCCCGCGTGGCCTAGAAATGACATTGACAAAGGCATGCAAACTCTGCAGAAAATCCGATTAAGTACGCACGATCCTCGGGTAGGAAAATCGGCAACCTGACTCCACATGCCAACGTCCACAGCCTGAAGTAAGTAATCGAAGTTTCTGCAAGCGGAAGGCGGAGACCAGCGAATTTTAGGAAGATCGAAGTCCCCCGCAACCAATTGATATTTAAAGTTTAAACCGGCTGCACATGAAATGTCTGCGAGAGACAGAGGTCAAAATCCTCACTGGCGTCAGGTGGACGATAGACACAACCGACAAATAAAGAATTCTTATTTTTTAAGGCACGTCCAAGCTAGCAGCTACATTCTATCGCGGGAAAATGCGGAAGGCTCAGCGGTGGAAATGCGATAGTTTGTTTAACATAGATGCGAATTCCCCCGCCATGGCCGTCATAACGATCATTTTGAAATAAAGTGTAACGTAGAAGAGAGAGTTTGTAACCAGTTACGGAACTGTTGCGCATGCCTCATTTGTTATAACAATAGCCAGACAGTGGACGAACAACAGGGTCTGAAGCAAATATATCTTATTTAGCAGGGATTTGGCATTTAGAACGAAAAGCTTTAGGGGACAGATTGTGTGTTTTTGAGGGAGGTCATCCAGTGGTTGACTATCTACGAAAAATGGGGATCGCATGCTTCTGTCTGGTTCTGCAGAAAATTTTATGACATTGAAGGCGTCCACTGTGGTTGAAGAAGAGTAGGATGCAAGGAGGAAATGAGAGGCAGGAAAACTGGCCACTACCGCTAGCCAGCTGATTTTCTACAGGAAATCCATACGCAGGATATTCAATTCAATTCAATTCTGTTCAATTATTTTTATTAAAGACCCGTCGGGGTCCCATCAAAGCAAGTGAAAATAAATTTACATGCAAATTTTAGACGAGGTAGGCAGAATCTGTACAAAGTGCAATGCATAGTTTTTGAGATTAGAAGTCCGTTAAGCAAAATGAAAATGAAAAAAACGAGGGGTGAAAAAAAAACTCCAAAGCAAAATTTAAAAATGATTGTAGTAATTTAACAGGAGAAAAAAAACCCCTCAGAAAAATAGCATCAGAGAAATACAGGGAGGACTGGCCTGCATGTGGCGGTACAGAATGGAATATATATTGCAACGTATTCCCACCGAGAACACATTGAGGACCGGGTGGGTTTTTTGACCTAGTGTGAACATTTGTGTGAGGCCTCTACTATTAAAACGATCGTGGAGGGAACATGTTCGAAGATGAGGGACGGATTGCTTCGATTGGAGCGGAAATATGAGCATATTTGGTTTAGACGCTCCGATATGAGGTCTGGGAATAGTTGTTAATACGTTGCGTTTGGGGTCGTGGAGTGCGGGGAAGTGGTAGGCGATTGTGAAGGATAAGCTTTCCTAGTGAAACTGAATTTCCTCAGTGCTCGAGTGGCTGAGTTTGCATTCCGACTCGTCTTCGAACTAGGTACTTTCTTCGGTTTACAAGGGGTTACTGGTTTATATGGTAAATGTGTGTATACAACAGACGTGTATTTGTGTTGAAAAACCCAGGGATCAACAGTACTCGAGTTTCCTACGGAATAAACTAGGTAGTGAGAATGTAATGCCACAAACGAAATTAAACAAAACTTTCTCAAAATGACAACAGAGGCCGTCATTTCGGTGTTGGTTGCCGGCATTCTCAAATTGTTCAGTCCTCTGTGCGTTGGTGTGAGGTCAAAAGAAACTGAGCACTGCTATTCAAGGCAGAATTATCTAGTCGCCTACCTCCTAGTTAAGATGAAGCTAGCTCATATAAAGGTCAATAGCGTAATTAAATTGGGATATTACGGCTGAGCGAGAGCGGTCGTTTGGGGAGCGCGGCACTGAATCCCAAGCCGCAACTTTACAGAAACGAATACGCTTCCTAAGTGGCAGATACTTGATTTGGAACATTACGCAGTAGGTATTAATGTTCGTATGCGCGATCCCAAAGCGAACCACGTGGCAGATGCGTTGGACCAAGACGGGGGCCATTTCTTATTTTGGCGGCGTTATCGGATTGCGCATCATAACAAATGTCAACATGTCGGGGTGCGGTGGGAGACCCAGTTGCCCGCGTACATCGCGCACAACTGGGTCTCTGTCGTTCGTTAAAATTCTAGTCACTTTCTCTGTGGGCCAGGGGTGGGGAATGGAGCGGCAAGGTGCGGCCTCGATCGCGCCATCCACCTGCGCCCCCCCAGCCTCCGATCTTCTTGACTATGTCTTACGCCGGGTCTAGATAAGGGAGGGGAGAGTGAGGTAGATGCAGCAGAAGTCTACATTCACTATAAACGAATTCATGCACAAGTCACCGTCCCAGCTCTCACCTTGCTGTGGAGCACACGGTGAACATTGTCGGCGACAACGGTCGAATTGTCATATGGGATGTAGAGGTGTCCAATTGTGGGTCTACGTGGCGGTCGCAGTAGTCGCTCTCCTGTTTGTAAGTGTAGACTACGCCTAACCTCCATTTGCCAGCATACAACTCTCGCATGAGGCTCCCGAATCTAGGCTCTGCATAACGACCACCCCTCGGTAACCGCCCCGACCGGCGGGCTAAACTAGGTGAGGGTGTCCGTGTGAGCACCTCAGCACACGGTAACTTGGCTCCGCTAGCCGGATGGATCACGCCCTAGGTACTTCCGCGACGAGGCTCAATCTACAACACCACAGGGGGCCGCAAGATAAGTGGAGATTGCTCTGCCGTCTTTACTTTGCTTGTTCATGCTTACTTGTTTTCTGTCTGCTTGTTTGTGTTTGTCCACGTTGTAATCTAAACGCCGTTCCATTGAATTTCTTCTGTCTGCCTCTGCTTCCCCTTTTTATAACTTGCCTGCCCTTCGTCTGCTTGTATCTATTTGCATTTGCTGTACGTTAACTGTCATTAGTTTGAACCTGTTTTCTCACCACTTATAGAGTTCAGCAATTAGTTCGCTTAGAGAGTGACGGGAAACCTCCGCTTCACGTCTCTCTAACCTTCCCCCACCCCTTCCCCATTTCAAGTCCCACGACGATGTCGTAGGCAGGCTCAGGCTAGTTCTGGTCGTTCTCCCACCAGACAAAAGCCGTGGCCCATACTGGGCTTCGGCAGCCGTCTGGGATAACCCAGCAGCCATATTTAGGGAGATCACCGCTCACACCCACGAGGAGGGTGGGCTAGAAAAGGTGACCTAAAGAAATGATGGGAATCCACGCCGTCTGCAGGCCGGACATGGCCTCAGACGCAAAACTCACTGTCCGAACAACCAAATACAAAACAACACACACCCTCTCTTCTCCCTCCTCCTTCCCGCCGCCCCACTCGCCAGACTGATAGGGTGAAATCCGCTCACTCTGGCAGCCTGGAATGTTCGTTCCCATTTGGACAATCCGAGGACCAACCGAACGGAACGGACGGCGGCGCTAGTGGCTCGGAAAATGGCGCGCTACAAGGGGGAAATCACCGCACCTAGAGAGACCCTGTTCAACGAGCAAGGGCAACTGGAGGAGGTGAGTGCCGGCTACGCCTTCTTCTGGAGTGGTTGTCTAGGCCAGAGCAACGAGACGCGGGCGTCGCCTTTGCCGTCTGGAACGACATCGTGGGACGAATGCCCCATCTGCCGCAGGGTATCAACGATCGCCTGATGAGCCTCCACCTGCATCTTCAGGAAGGCAAATCCGCCAGAATCGTCAGCGTCTACGCCCCTCTGATGATCAGCCATGACGCTGAAATGGACAAATTCTACGAGGAAACGCACGCCCTCCTGAGGACTGTGCCAAAGGCGGATAAGTTGATTGTCCTTGGTGATTTCAACGCCCGCGTCGGCACAGACCATACTACCTGGAGAGGAGTGCCGGGTCACCATGGTCTCAACGGCTCCAATGACGGTGTCCTGTTCCTCCTATAAACCTGCGCAAAACACCGGCTCATCCTGACCAACACTTACTTCCGCCTCTCGATGTGGGAGAAGGCCACCTTGACGCACCCTTGGTCCCGTCTACTGGACTAGGTCTTCGTTCAGAGGCGAGACCAGCGGGATATGCTGGTGACAAAGACGGGCCCGTGTGCCGACGGGTAGACTGACCATCGTCTCGTCATCTCGAAGTTGCGTAATCGCCTAAAACCTCGCAGAAGACCACAATGTAAGCGACGCCCATGTAAGCTGAATATTGCCTTGTTGTCTTTGCCTGCTCACCAGGTCCACTTCAGAAATGAGGTAGCTTAACGACTGGGTAATCTTTCAGTCGCTTCTGCCGCCGCCGCCGCCGCTGACGAGAACGCCTCCATGGAGAAACAATGGTGTCAACTGCGTGACACAGTCCAGTCGACGGCCCTGGCCGTTCTCGATCGTGCACACCGCCAACACCAGAACTGGTTCGACGACAACGACGTCGCCATCAGCAATCTGCTCGACGAGAAGAACCGCCTAAAAAAAGCCTACGTAGACCACCCCACTGACGACAACAAAGCTGCTTTCTACCGCAGTCGCCGCCACCTTAAGCAAGGACTGCGCGAGATGCAGGATGCCTGGACTGCTCGCAAAGCTGAGGAGGTCCAAGGCTACGCGGAAAGCATAAAGGCACTGTTAACGGTCTCATTCCCGAACACTCCGATTCTTGAATTCGAGAAGGGTCCTCCTTGATTAAGTGGTAGATTACTGGTAACTCTTAATTATATCATTAGAAACCCCTGTTTTGAATTGGTTTCTAAATCCACTGCTATCACTCCTCCCCCATAGCAACAATTTTCGCGGTTTTTGATGTCATCTCCCGCATTCCGACCTCATGCGGTCTGTCGACGCTCAGGGCGGAAAGCTCAGTATTCGTCGTCTACTAGTAGTTTGGTCGTACCTCCCTTCCCCACTGCTCGGCTGAGCTCGAAGCGTGCTGTGGCCGATTGCATCTGGGTTCCTCTCTTCTGGCTTCTTTGACGCGAATAGTCTCATGCGGCCTATCACTCCGGCCCAGACGATCTCATTTGTGAATCCCGTATAAAATGCCACATGCAAGCCAGTCCTGTCTGACCCGCATACGTACCCCTCAAGGCTGAGATTTATTGCTACCCTGACGATGACCGACAACATTCCGTTATATACCGCCACCTACAGGCCAGTCCTGCTCGCTTTTTTCTGTCATTATTTTTATTCAGGGTTTTTTTCTCCTGTAAAATTAATCCAATCTTTTTTAACTTTTTGTATGGAGTTTTTTTCACCCCTCAATCATCATGTTTCTCAATGGACTATTAATTCAGAAACTAGGAATTGCATTTTGTAAAGATTCGGCCTACCTCGTCTAAAACTCGCATGTAAATTTATTTTAACTTGCTTTGATGGGACCCCGACGGGTTTTTAATAAAAAATTATCTATCTTTATCTAAATTATCTAAAGAAGTTATTCGCCGCGATCAAAGTTATCTACAGTCCGCCAGCCAGAGCAATTACCCCTCTTCTCAACGTTGACGGCAGTGCCGTACTCACCAAGAAGGCAAAACTTCTTCAACGGTGGGCCGAGCACTTTAGAAGCGTCCTCAACCGTCCCTCCACCATCCCTGACGCCGCCATAGCCCGTTTGCCGCAACTGGAAACCAACACCGATTTCGACCTCCTGCTTTCTCTCCACGAAACAATCAGGCCGCGCAGCAGCTCTCTAGCGGGGAAGCGGCCAGATCTGGCGCGATCCCTGCTGAAATCTTCAAGCACAGTGCCCTCAACTCATGGATCATCTGACGGCGCTCTTCCAGGAGATGTGACGTCAAGGAGAAGTCCCCCAGGATTTCAAGGACGCCACGATCGTTCACATCTACTAGAGCACAGGGAACCGCCAAATCTGCGACAGCCACCCTGCTAAGTATCGTTGGGGAGACCTTTGTTCGCGTCCTTTTCAACGGCCTGAATAATCACCTGGAGCAAGGTCTTCTGCCGGAAAGTCAGTGCGGCTTCTGTCGTCATCGCGGAACCACGGACCTAGACGATGTACAATAAGCAGGTGCGGAGACTCAATCATTTCCATCTCATCTGTTCTTGGCGGATACTGAAGCTGAGGTAGCAGGACCGGATCCTGGACACGCATGTACTGGGGCGTACGGGAATCCTCGACATCTACGCTATGTTGAGACAATTTCAACTACGCTGGAGCGACCACCTCGTACGGATGGACAAAGAGAGGTTACCCAAACGACCTTCCTACCGAGATATTGCGACGTGCTCACACCTATAAGAAGGTCAAGTCCGGCACTACATGGATACTCTGAAAATCGCCCTGAGGCTCCCGAAGATCAACAAGGAAACTGGGAAGACCTCGTCCGGAACCGATCTACGTGAAGGAAAGCAGTGAACACAGGCGCAGCAATCGTCGAAACCAACCGCGTCACCGTCACCAAAACCAAACGCGAGACACGCAAATCTCAAATGCTGCCGGGCCGCCGCCTCACAACGTCAACGCCCAACCACCTCCAACGTGTCCACGATGTCAACGGACATTCCAGGCGCAAATTTGACTTATTGGACGTCTCCGGAATAACTGTAGAACACC